TTCCTTGGATTTTGTTGTTTATACAAATGGTTCACATTTTTAGTAGAATCTATTTATAAACCTTTCCTCTTTCGCCATCTCTTGAATATTAAAATTAAATAATCTATAAAAGTTTTTCTTTATTATCTAATAGATTTTATCACTTGATAGCATTCATTGTTAATTCATCTTTCATCAAGATGAATTTCATTTTTCTATAATCTCCCATGCTGTTGTCTTAAATTTTTTTTAAAAAACTATGAGACCCTTACAAAAATTTCAGATATTGATCATATTTTATAGTTTTTGCTAAACTATGTATTCTTATTTTCACTTAGTTTTTAAGAATATATTTTCAATGAATGATTAACACTTTATATTGCTTGGGATTTAAACTTTTCTATGTTTATATTTTTCTTTGCTTTTTCAGAATTTTGCTATTTTATAACATTTTGATGATTTGAAAGTATTAGAAATGTTGTGTGTGATACTATCTTTTTAAACTTATGTTCTTTTTCTAATGTATTGGGATTTATCTGACAGAAAATGTGGATATTAGTAAAGTAACTCTGACACTAGTATCATCAAGCTCCTAATCTCTTTGTGTATCTAAATGTGTGATTAATTTGATTGRATTTATTTACATTTAAAGTATCACTTCATTTATATAAAGTGCCATATATACTTTTCAAAATGCCAGGGAGATTCTTTTACCAATAATCATTTTAATTCTTACCTCTAATTTTGACAAATATATGTAATGAATGCAGCTTCTGTTGTATTATTTTGTTTCTTTCTTTTTGAAAGTTTCCCAGTTTATGATAGGTAAATCACACATTCTTTTAATGAATAAGGCAAAAAATATTTTTCTTTGAACACGAAAGCATATAAAGAAGACTGACATGTCTAATGTACTGGCTATTGTTAATCCCTTCATATTTCAGCCAAATCTTGATATTTATGCAAAGGCCTTATAGTGATTTCTAACCCTGATTTTGCTAATTCTTCATTTGTTTTTAAATGGTATCACAAATTATTTTAATAGAAACATTTCATATCTAGCATCTGTTTGGGATAGAGGAATATAGGATATTAACACTAAATTTATTGGATACTGTTGATCTAGTTTAAAAATTCAACAACTACCATCTTCTAGGATTATCAAAGACATTCTTGAGGTGCCTTGAGGGAAGTGTGTCTGACACCTTAAGAGGAAACATCWTGGTATAGTGAAAAGCACTGGAATTAGAAGTGAAGAAGCCAATGTTCTGAGCTCAGTTTTGCAACTGACCCAAGTCACTTAATTGTAGGATTATATATTTATTATTAATAATCACATGAGATCATTGTGAAGATTTACATGGATTGATTAAACACCGGATTCTCATTTTCTTGATGTAAAGGAAAAGATTGTTTTGGATGAACAATACCACTCCTTTAAGGTCTAAAATTCTCAGGGTGGGAGGGTTCAAAAATATATAATGATGTTTTGAAAAGTATAGATCTTTCATATATAATGTGTTTATAAAGTCAAATAATTAGGCAGAAAATTTGTGACCAAAAGTGTGACATTTGTATACTCCTTACCATGTGACAGAAGATGGATTTGGCTGATAAGCTATCACAATCTCTCCCATGCGTCTATGGATTTAGTTTCAGATTCTTGGATTCTGCTTATAATGCCATTATTGCTGTATTTTCACACAAGTAATACAGACTTCAGCAACATTTTGCTGTGCAATGAGTTATATTTGATGTTTATTCAAATATATCAACTCTAATAACAAAAGGTCCAGTTTATTATGTTTCAAAGCACATTACTATGATCATAACATCTGTTAATTTTTTAAGTGTTGTATTTAAGATTTTGGATGAACTCCAGAAAGCATTGCATGAATTATTTTTTTAGGTTTTTTTAAAAAATGCCAGATGCTATTGTAACTATTGAAATTGGTTTAATTCCTGGTAGACACAACTTAGATTTGATTTGAAAATGAAAAGTGATGAAAGGTAGGGTCAACTGCAGTGCCCAAACTTAACATAATATTGAAATAGAAGCTAGGTGCTTGAAGTGAAACAACRGCTTTTGGGTTATTTGAAGATTATAATCTTTTAAGGGGATAGAGAGTCTTCTGTCAGGAGTGGTGTCTTTGAGGAAAGCAACGTTTATAGTCTTGATTTTAAAATGTGACCATGTAGAACAAAAGAGAACAAATGTTTTGTAGTTTAATTTCAATACAAACAATCATAATAAAAGGATTATATATTTATTATTAATAAAAACTTCACTTCTCTCCTCACCATTGCCTTTWACATGCCCAGAGATAAATACTGTTAACAGATCAGTGTGTACTCTTTCAGAAATTTCTAATGTTTATGCATTTCCCTACCAATTTCCTCCATACAATCAGTTCAGTAATATAATTTCTTTTCACTTAATATATCTTCTTTTTCTGTATCTGTACACAGAAATCTGTCTTTTTATTATGACTTTATTATGACATTTCCTATTGTATGGCTGCCCCATAATTTATTTATTCAGTCCCTCATTAATGAACATTTAGATTTTTTGCTTGTAACACAACATTGCTATAAAGATCTTATATGTATATTTTGGCACTTGTTGGTTAAGATAAATCCTATCAGTGGAATTGCTGACTTGTAATTGATTTGTATTTTCTTGTTTTTGAGTTAAGTCTCCTTATTGGTCAGTTTGTTGTGTTTTTTTGTTTGTTGGTTGKTTGKTTKTTTTTTTTTCATATCCTTTAGATAGTTTACTCTTGGTTTACCATTTTTCTCTCATAGGTTTATTTAAATCAGTAGACTTCTCTAGATTATGAAATACCTCTCTGTATTAACAAACATTTTCCCAAATTTTCCTGTTCTTTTATTTCTTTGCTTATTTGCTTATTGTTTTGCCATTCAGTAGTGTTTATATGTTCTTACAATTCTTTTATTAAATTTCATGATCTTAGTTTTATTTGGGCTTTTCTGCTGGGAGATTATTAAAATGTTACTTTCATAGTATTTTTACAGACCTCTGTATACTTGCCTGATTGACCCATGCAGGATTTAGTATATAGAAAAATAGATCCAGTTTTAGCCAGCAAGTTGTCTAAAACTATTTATTAGATAATGCATGCTCTTACCCACTAATTTGAAAGGTGGTTGCTGTCACAAATTACTATATTCAGATAAAAAGATTTTTATAAATCCTATATGCATATTGGTCAGTTTCTGTAATTTGTATTTTTTTCATTGGTTATATCAGTATAAACTTTCACCAGCACCAAGCTGTTTCATTACTGCAGCTGTACAAGTTATATTAATGATGTTAGGGTATTGTTCTCACTCTCCTTTTTTATAATTTAATTGRTGTTATATTTTTCTTTCTACACAAATTTTATTATGATTTTGTCCAGTCACTTATCTTTCCTCCTCTACCTCCACCCCATCCTCCAAAAATTACCATCTTGGGACCACTTTGAAAGAGAATATATGTGTTATGTATAAATGTGAAAGGGGGTAAATAATATCTTTATTATAATGAATTTTTATATTTATGAATAAGGCATGGATTTTCATTTTAAAAAATTCATATACGCCCCTTAGGAAAGTATTATACCTTCTATCACATAACTTCTGCACATTGTTTGTAAAAACACACATATAAATATCTTTTTTATCTTACAAGAATAATTTTTTCCTTCTATTTCCAAATTGATTACTGGGTTTTATGTATTTGGCTTCCTAGATATATTGTCATCTGCAAATAAGTTCTTCCTGCCTCTCTAATTGAGGCTTCTTTCTCTTAATTTATATCTTCTTGAAATATGACCCATTTCACCTGATTTTTCACATTTATTTGCTTAATTTATAAGTTAATAATACTTATTAATTTCTTCTAAATCTGTGCCTCTGTCCCTTTTAATTTCTGATATATTTGTGTTTAATTGCCTTACCTATTTGTAGATACTTTTTTCTCAATTTTTTGTGATCTTCYAAGTTAGAAACTTATTCCACTTGGTCCTCTTGCTCTAAAAGACATTACATAAAAAACCATGCCTCATCATGCTGTTTCAGTTTTTTATTTCTGTCTCCATTAAAAATGAAACCATTCTATCCACCTTTTATATCAAGACAATTATGAAATCACAGCTTCTAAGCTAAATATTTGTAGTTTTTTTTTAAAGATACAACTTCAAGAAACACAATTTTTTAAAAGTCTTGTATCTTCTTTTTGAATTTCTTGAAGACTTTTAACATTTTGCCTAAATTCTTAACATGCCTTTTTTGAGGGATCATGATCACAATTACATTGCTTACCTTTCGAAACAGTCTAGCCTGCTATATGTTTTAAATAGAGGAAGTAATTATTATCAGAGCCAATTACATTGAAAAGAAATTTAAAAATCATTTTTATGGTTATGTTCATATTTTCTGGAGCAAATAATGGTTAACAGACAATATTGTACATAGACAATCTTTCAGTAGTCTTAAAAATAAATTTAAAGATTGTTACATAGTCTAAATAGGCCTCAGGGCTTCTATTTGTCTAGAAACTCTGCTCCTCATTTTTAATGAGTTCTGAGATTGGCAAAGAAAAGTATCTTTATAGAGCAGGTGAAATTTCCAGGGAAGAGACAAAGTGGGGGTTAATAGTTATTTATGTGATGCATGCATTTATGAGTTTTATATATGTTCTATACAAATGTAATCTAATATTAATATATTTTCTGAGATAAAATGACAACAGTTTAATACCTCATTAGATTGAATTTAAACAACAATATTTTTTAAAATCTACAATTTAAAGATTGGCATTGCTGCATTCAAGAAATCTTAAAGCAGTGTAGCAAATACTTTTAAAAAGGAAGCAGCAATAATTTTTTGAATGTTTGAATTTTCTGATATGTGTATTTTTTGTATATTAATGATTTTCCCCCATTGAGAAATGATTTTTRGAGGATCATAACATATTATGGAATATTATCAATTTTCTCACTCTCACTTTTTTTTAGGTAATGGAAAATGGAAGATTTGCAAAATACAAATATTTTACCCATGTCATGATCAATAAAACAGATATGTTTATGATAACTAGAAGGTAACTTGCTTTCTTTCTCCATTGTAATTAGATAATGGGTTAACTAACAGTCACTTGTTATACATCTTTTGTTCCATGTAGTCCTGCTAACTCTTGTCTTCTTTCTCTAAAAGACTGGTTCCTAAGACATTACATAAATTCCTGTTTAGATTTGTGCATATATACAGGTAAATAGCCACACATAACTTTAAATTAGATTCTAGAGGATTTGCTTCAATCAGTTTATTGTATGCAGAAATTTTATAAAGCTATCCTCTCAGAGATCAACTTCCCTCCCTCTGAAGAAATACACAATTTCAGGTTACCATAAAAGTCAATAGTACTGTGATTGTATCTATTTGTTATAATATAGAGACCCAGTCACACAATTTTATACAAATGGAAGTAGATAGCATTATATGTGGATACTCCTGGCAACAGTGACATCTTCAGATGGAACTATAGACAGTGGAAGGGTTCTTTGAAAAATACTCAGTGATACAGCCTGTAGACACAGCTGGCCATGTACTCAAACACTACTAAGTTTGTGCCAACAGCCACTTTAATCCAGGAATGGTGAAAGAGAGGATGAGAGGCAGAAGACTGAGGTGAGAGACATAAAGCCAGATTAGCTTTCTCCTTCTGCATTTCCACCAGAAGCTAGCTATTTCTTTAACTTGGTCCCTTAAATTGAAAGTATACTTATTTAAAAGAAAACTCTGGTTACACCTAAAATTGATATTTCAACCAGAAAGAAAAATTGCAGAAGAAAGATTTTTGAAGAAAGGATTAAATAGAATTATTTTAAACAATGCATTTTCATTTCTTAATTTCTTCTCCCAAAATAGGAAAACAAAAATTGATTAAAATGAAAAGCATGTGGTGGCACATGCCTGTAATCCCAACATCTGGGGAGGCTGAGGCAGGAAGATCATAAGTTCAAAGCCAGCCTCAGCAACTAAGCAAATCCCTAAGCTACTTAGTAAGACCCTATCTCAAAATAAAAAGGACTGGGGACGTGGCTCAGTTGTTAAGTGCCCCTGGGTTCAATCCCTGTTACAAAAAAATGAAACCCAAGATGATGGCTATTTGAAATTTCCTTCTAAAATTGATAATAGGGCTTGATTTTGCCTGTGAAAAACCCAATGCCTCTCAGCATGTCAATTTTGTTTAAGGTAGTTAGAAAAGTCTCTTTCTGATATATGCTGGGAAATGTATTACAGGAATCTTAGTAATACAATAAAATATTTATTCTAAAATGCTAATTATATGAAAGTTCTCCAAACTATTGGCTGGTAATTGGTTCTATAAATGGTTTCTATTTCTAACATTTTTTTATTTCTCATATATTTGTCTTTATAAATACATTAGTTTTTCTTGTTATACTTTAAATTTCCTACTAAGCATCACTTTAGTTGCATCCAAAAAAATTGTATTATATTTTCATTCTGTTCAAAATATTTTCTAATTTCCTTTGAAATTCCACAGGTTATTTTAGAAATATCTTAATTTATGGGCATTTGGAAATATTCTTGAGCTCTTCCTGATATTTTTCTAATTTAGTTCCATTATGATCTGAAAATATACTTTTATGGTTTTTGTTCTTTTAAATTCATTAAAAAAATTTTATGACCTAGAATATAGTTTATCTGGAGAAATGGTTTATGTGCACTTGAAGAGAATGTGTATCCTGTTACTAGATATAAGTGCCTCTGTTTTTAAAGTGGATTCTTTGCTTTCTTCCCTTTGCCCCCTCTTTTCTCCTCCCTCAGTGGTGTATTGTTTGTAACAAAGGGAGCATTTGGACAACTTACATGTGAGTGGCAGTATAGTTTTGATGAATTTACCAAAGAGCCTTTCATTGTTCATGGGAGAAGATTGCGTATTGAAGCAAAGGTATATTGAATACATTTTTTTCAAAAAACTTGGAGCTGAAAATATACATTGTAACAGTTACCTTTACTTTTGTAATGTTTCTTCCTCTTTTATAAGTGTTCTTGTGGTCTTGGTGTGGTTTTCCTTTAATTGAAGGGGATACGGGGAGGCCAAGGGAAAAAGTTCTATTTTCTGAGCTATTATATTGACAACAGCATTCCTAGTTACTTATTTCATAAGCACGAATAGAACCCCAACTAAATATGAAATAATGGATGGTGGCTATTAGCCTCTGCTCTAAACCATGGCTTTCCTGGTTTTGTTTCTTGTCTTTTTCCCTTTCCAAAGATAACAGTTCCCCTTATTTCCTTTTTTCCTCTTATTTTCCTTTTTTCCTTTCCAAAGATAACAACAATTCCCTATATTTCCTATTTTCTTCCTTTTTCACCTTTTTGAGACCTGTGTCAGCAAATTGCTATTCTGTTTTAGATAGAAGAAACTGATTTCTTCTGGGTTCTATATTTGTGTGGATTTTTTAATTACTTAAAAGTATTGCTAAACTAGTAAAACCTCCCATCTTCTTTTATAACAATACCCATCCTGGTCCTTAGTAGTACCACTTTTCTTTCTTATTTATCTCTCAAATGGTTAATATCTGCTATTAAACAGTTTCCCCCAACAAATAGCAAACAATACCAAAAGAGTTGTGAACAGTAGAGAATTATAATCTAGGATCCAACCTTATTTCTTTGATTCTAAACTGCATTCCTATTTCATGACTGGTTTAAAATGTCACAGGTACACACATACATACACACATGCACATACCTATATAACTTGTGTGTATATGTATGTGTGCATATATATGTGTGTATTATTTTTGAACTGRACTCAATCAAGGTTGCACAGCCTTATATCAAGAAATGAGGAATTATTTGAAAAGAAAAAATAATAGACATCCTTCTCATCCTTTTATTTCCTTAGCAATTGAAATCTCACCATAAGCCTTTTAACTTGGGTTTAATGATATGTGAGAATGTAGCCTTTTTTCTGTTTGCTTTGATTCTTCTTTGTTACCCATTCTTGGCTTTTTTTGTGTGTAAAATGGATACTTTAAACATAGGCTAATAAATCTGTCTGGCATTTCTTTCTTGTATTTTTACAACTGGATTTTCTTTTTAATAAAGTTACATATTCTGCTTATAGGAACGGGTGAAGTCTGTATTCCATGCCAAAGAGTTTGGAAAAATAATTAACTTCAAGACCCCAGAGGATGCAAGGGTAAGTATAATGAATCTTTTACTTAAACTAGCTAGGTGCTTTTCACATTAAAACCATGTAAGTTTAAAAAAACAGGATAGATTTTGTTTGGGATTTTTGTTTTTGTATTTTGACAGTTTTTAGAATGTAATTAGTATTTCCCCAAAACATTTTCCACTCAATTTAACACTCCTGTTTGCTTCTCAAATCAAAATGGTCTTTTAAATCCTAACTATACTATATTTTAAAATGTCAAAAGCAGAAGAAATTATTTCATTCTAGTGTTAAAATCTCAGTTCCAGCAGAGAAAGTAGAGCCCCATATACAACAGTAGAAAAATCAACCATATGTGATTTAACCACAAAACAAAAACAAAGAAAACTACTACTATAACATGGCACAGGGCAAAGAGAGCCAAATCTATAGTCAGAAAATTTGAGTTTGAATACTGTTTCTGTTCCTTCTTGATGGTAGAACCTTGAAGGAAGTCAGTCAAGCTTAGTTTCCTATAGATGGGAATGTTGTGAACTGACAAGCACTATATATACTTCAGGGATTATGGCACTTATAACAATGTGCACTGTCAAGAAAATGAAGACTATGAACCAATTATGTGAACCTCATTGATTGTAGTTAGATACTATTGTTGACACTGAATTATACCTAATGTGTTAGGAAATTTACAGTAAGAGCACCTGACTCCTTTATTAATCACTGGGCCTCCTGCCTGGATTCAGTACATATACCTGGCCTCCTGGCTGGGCATGACTATTGCTGGTAAATGGCACATCTGATCCCAAATGAGGGATATCCCAAACCCCACCCCAGTAAGCACAAACCAGGTAGCATGTGCTGTTCAATTTTACTAGATATTGTATATAAGACACATTGGCACACGAACAGCAGAAAATGGGAATTACAAAGAAATATGAGTAAAGCAGCTGGACCCTTAATATATGTGTCACTTGGAACAAGGAGACAAAATGGAGCATGATAACAGCATGACTTTTAGGCTACTATCTTTCATATTGCTGAAAAATATCACCACCTATTTCAATTTTTCTGTGATAAATTCTTATAATCTCTGTTCTCATGTGACTCTATCCCATAGAATTTAATTCTGCTCTTCCAGAAACATTCATAGAAAGCTACTGAACTCAGTTCTCAGTTCTCCAGGTATGTTAGGGCTGTTCCCACTAGGTGGTTCTTAATGTAAAGAGGCACAACCATCTCTGCCAAATGTTTTTTTGTTGTTGTTGTTTTCTTCTCTGAGGAAGTTCTGTTTGCTTTTTAATTTATATCTTAACTGATACATAAAAACAAAAATTGTAAATATTATTGAGTTACCATGGTAACTTTCCATATATGTACATTGTACAATGTTTACATCAGGTTAAACATATTTCTGTCCTCAAACATTTATCATTTTTTATGCTCACAATCCTTCTTTCCAGACTTTTAGAATCTACAGTACATTATTGCCATTTTTGGTCACCCAACTGAGCAKTAAAATACCAGGCTTCATTCCTAACTGTAAATTAGTACCCACGGATCAACATTTCCCCATCCCTCCCCACCTCTACTATTCACCATTCTATTCTTAATTTCTATTAGATCAACATTTTTTAGGTTCCCCATATGAATGAAATCATACAGTACTTAACTTTTTGTGTCTTATTACACTTTAGTACTCTATACAGTTTCGCACATGTTGCTGCAAATAAGAGGATTTCATTTTCTTTAATAGCTGGAGAGTATTCCAACTACAAATTTACATTTTCATTGTTCCTTTTCATTGTTCCTTTAAGATCCTGATTTCAATTCCTTTGGATATAAACCCAAAAGTGGTATTGCTGGATCATATGGTAGACCTATATTTAATTTATTGAGGAAACTTCATGCTGTTTTACATAATGACTGTACCAAATTACATTCCCACCAATAGTGTACAATTTCCCTTTTCTCTACATCTTCACCAGCATTTGTCACGTTCAGTCTTTTTGATAATAACAATATTGAGAATGAAGTGATATTTCATTATTGTTTTTACTAGTGTTTCCCTGTTGATTAGTGATATTGAACCTTTTTTCATGAGTTTTTTGGCTATTTGTGTCTTCTTTTTATGTAAATTTTTTAAATTTTATATGACAGCAAAATGCATTATAATTCTTATTACATATATAGGGCACAATTTTTCATATCTCTGGTTGTATATATAGTATACAATTCGTGTCTTCATACATGGACATTGGATAGCAATGATCATCACATTCYACCATCATTAATAACCCCATGCCCCCACCCTTCCCCACAACCCCTCTGCCCTATCTAGAGTTTGTCTGTTCCTCCCATGCTCCCATTCCCTATCCCACTATGAATCAACCTCCTTATATCAAATAAAACATTCAGCATTTGGTTTTTTGGGATTGGCTAACTTCACTTAGCATTATCTTCTCTAACTCCATCCATTTACCTGCAAATGCCATGATTTTATTCTCTTTTATTGCTGAGTAATATTCCATTGTGTATATATGCCACTTTTTTTAAATCCATTCATCTATTGCAGGGCATCTAGGTTGGTTCCACAGTTTACCTATTRTGAATTGTACAGCTATGAACATTGATGTGGCTGTGTCCCTGTAATATGCTGTTTTTAAGTCCTTTGAGTATAGACCAAGGAGAGGGACAACTGGATCAAATGGTGGTTCCATTCCCAATTTTCCAAGAAATTTCCAAACTGCTTTCCATATTGGCTGCACCAATTTGCAGCCCCACCAGCATTATATGAGTGTACCTTTTCCCCCATATCCTTGCCAACACTTATTATTGTTTGTCTCCATAATAGCTACCATTCTGACTGGAGTGAGATGAAATCTTAGAGTATTTTGATTTGCATTTCTCTAATTGCTAGTGATGATGAACATTTTTCATGTATTTGTTGATTGATTGTACATCATCTTCTGAGAGTGTCTCTTCAGTTCCTTGGCCCATTTATTGATTGGGTTATTTGGTTTTTTTTTTTTTTTTTTGGTGTTTAGCTTTTTGAGTTCTTTATGTACCCTAGTGATTAGTGCTCTATCTGATGTATGAGGGGTGAAGATTTGCTCCCAAGATGTAGGCTCTCTATTCACCTCACAGATTGTTTCTTTTGCTGAAAAGAAGCTTTCTAGTTTGAGTCCATCCCATTTATTGATTCTTGATTTTAATTTTTGTGCCACAAGAGTCTTATTAAGGAAGTTGGTGCCTAATCCCACATGATGGAGATTAGGACCTACTTTTTCTACTATTAGATGTAGGGTCTCTGGTTGTATTTCTAAGTCCTTGATCCATTTTGAGTTGAGATTTGAGTGAGAGTAGGGGTTTAATCTCATTTTGTTGCATATGGATTTCCAGTTTTCCCAGCACCATTTGTTGAAGAGGCTGTCTTTTCTCCATTGCATGTTCTTGGCACCTTTGTCTAATATAAGATAATTGTAGTTTTGTGGGTCAGTCTCTGTGTCCTCTATTCTGTACCATTGGTCCTCCGGTTTGTTTTGGTGCCAATACCATGCTGTTTTTGTTACTATTGCTCTGTAGTATATTTTAAGGATAGAGTGATGCCACCTGCTTCACTGTTCCWGCTAAGGACTGCTTTAGCTATTCTGGGTCTCTTATTTTTCCAGATGAATTTCATGATTGGTTTTTCTTTTTCTATGAGGAATATCA